AAACATAAAAAATAAAATAGGATTTCACTCATTAATAAACAACAATATATGATGGACTATTCTAGGCTTTTTGCATGATTTTAGTTCTTATTTTGACATAGATGCATGCTTTTAACTTTTTCTTCATCATTAATAGTTTTTAATGAACCCAGGTCGATGAATCCTATAACAGTATTCTATGAGTTTCCAGTGAAAACACGTAGGAAACGCACCGTTTTTGGCAGGGACCCTGCCGGAAAATGCTAGGAATACGGCCCTGGAATCGGTTCCGGGTGGGATCGAACGGATCTGGTAATCGAGTCTGTTCAACAAGAATACTGCTTCTATGAGGTCTCCAGAATACAACGGAACCGGCCGTTTCTGTGCTGGATTATTCGACCTGGGATTTTTCCTTTTCTCTAATTTAAGCTGGAATCAACAAAACAACGCCTCGGAGAAGCGTATCAGCAGATCGCCTTCGTAAGTGATATTGGATTGTCGAATTAATTGACATCATTTTTTTACGTTTTAGCTCCAGCAATAACATGAGCAAGACCAGCTGAAGATACAGCAGGAGCGGCGGCTGAGAGGAGAACAGACAATGGCTCATCTTCGACGTCTTGCCCGAGGACGTCGTTGACGTTTCCGATCAAGACGTGGGAGGCGTCAAAGGTGTCGACATTTGCAAAGACGTCAACGATGTTCAAGATGTGAAGAACGACCAGTTATGGTGTTACCTGAGACATCAGAGGTTTGTATATCTTGTAATTAATAATAAAAAATATTAGATTTGTGTTTTAGGATGAAGAATAAAAAAAGCACAAAAAATACAAAAAAAAATAAGCCACAAAACAAAAAAAAGAAAAAAAAAGGTTTGATTCCGTACTTTTATTTAATTATTTAATTTTTGATATTGTTACAATGTCATTATTTGCACTTTCATGTAAGCAAATACAAATGTAAACAATTTTATCTAATCATGATTCATCAAGAACTGGTATTTTTATAATTATATCAATAACAGGACAACTTCGTCAATTCGAAAATGAATTTTCTTCTATCGAAAATGCTATTGTTTATGCTATACAATCACAACGTTATCGATTACCATTTTGTTAACCAAATAATATACAAACACATTTACCACTTGGTAATGATAAAAAAATGTAGGATTCGTTATAAATGAATTTAGTTTACAACGCCTATGCTTTAAATTAATTAGTGATGCAGTTAAACAACAACAACAACGTTTATATATTTTACCAATAATGACACAAATTGATAAAATACAAACAACAAGAGTCTTATCAAAACATAAATCAAAAAGAAAATAATCAACTGATGTAAGTTAAAAGGAATTAAAAGAATATTACATAACTAGATTTCCCATTCGCACATCGCGTGAAAGAAACCAAACACACATATTATTTTTGCAGTAGAGTCAAGTAAGCTTGCCTATTAGACAGACGAGATAGTATTTCTGATCTGAATTGTTCAGTACATTTTGATAAATTAGATTTTCTTAATAATACTGATAAAACTACAAAAAAGGTAAGAAGATAAAATAGTGATTATACCATGATGTGTGATTAAGACATCTGTTGCAAGTAATAAACATTTTCTTTTCAAACCTGAATTAAAAAATTTGAATGTCATACATATTTTGTTTTTTTTTATCTCTTTAGCCATTACTTGCATCTCCATCGGCAATAAATTCATCTATAAATATCCTACCGGCTACTACTACAACTAATTCATCAATCGTTCCAACATCATCTAGTCTAGCATCAAGTAGTGTATTTAATGATTCAATTGATCATGTCTGAATATCATTTCCTGAACTTACACATCATACACATTCAACATCGAATTCTTCGAAACGACTACGTTCAAGTACAACTGGTCAAACCAAACTACTACAGCACCTAAAAACCTTTTCTCATATACACGTTATGACTGGAATTCTTTTTCAACATTATCACCTGTGATTCTTGTTTGGTTTTGTGTTATTAATCGTATACAAAAACCAGTAGAAACCGTTCTTCACAACAAGCGTTAAAAACGTCTTGATGATATTCTAGCTTTTTTCTTATTGAAACGAAACCAGTATCAATTTTATCACAAAGTAAACTCTATGAATTATTCATTACAAAAACAAAATATCTTTTTTCAGATCCTGTTTATCAACTTGTTGCTGAATTTCGTAAACAACTTAATCGTAATACTCAAATTAATATGAATCTTCAACCAAATATTATACCAGAGTTGCAAATACTTAAACAAGCTTTACATGTATCATGTCGTGAATGGACTCGAACAATTCAACAACAACCACATAAAATTATTGTTCAACTACTTTCTTTTGACCAAAGGTATGACGGAATATGTAAAAGAAAGAAAAAGAGATATGTGCTATTATGAGAACGAACAAACATATCGGAGTTGAATGGTCATTGTTTTCTTTCGTACTTGATTGACCCTTCAATATCTATTGGTAGTGAAAACAGAGGTAACTTTTACATTTAATATTCTATATTTTTGAATATTTTTAACCATTTTAAATTTGTATTATAGATAATTAAATTCACCGGTATCATGTAAGTAAGAACCTTTTTATATTTTCTTTTTTTTACCTAATGAATAAGTGATTGCGAGTCTTTTTTTATAACTAATTGAATACTTATATTTATTATTTTCAGTATTACCATGTGTCATGATGGACATCCCTCCGTCATTGTAAGTTTAATATTAAAGGGATTTTAACGTACATATATTTTCTTTTTTTAATCTTCTTTCATGCTTTCTGTGTACCTATTGCGCTATACTCTACGTATAAACACATATCTTAGCTAGTTGTGATGTTAGATTTTTTTATTCTTTTTCTATTAGTGTTTGTTAGAATGCTTAACTATTATTTTTTTTGCTTTTTCAGAATGCCTCACCTCGTTGAGATAAGAATTAGTTGGAAAAAAAAGATAGAATTTTTGCATGGTTTTAGCTCTTTTATTTTCACAATGCTGCATGCTTTTAACCTATTTCTTAGTATTAATATTTTTTAATGAATTTTTTTTTAATTTTAGCCCAAATCCGACCAATAAAAGTTGGCGGAATGTCAAAGAGAAATAGCTCGGGTGAGTGATTTCGCCATTTCTAAAATAATTAAAATTATTTTTCTACGTTTTAGTTGGAGCAAAAGGTCGCCCGATTGGAACAACAACCCCGAAGGTATAATGAGGATCCAAGAAGACGGGCGGCCAGAACGAGAGCTCGTCTTCTACGTCTGCTTTGGGGCAATTATTTAATCTAGCCCATCAAAAAAATTTATTCTCATTTTTCTTTTTTTGTATATAAATTTAGTTAATTTTTTTTGTAATAAATAACATGAGAATAAATTACTTCGTTGTTTGTTTTATAATTCTCATTGAATAAGAACGAGAATCAAAAGAGTTGTATGATAGTAAAGCTTTAACATTATGAGATGATAGTATGATTTTAATTGGTTTACTTGTTGGTCTTAATATATTACATTTTAATTTTTGTATAAAAGGGTGTGTGTGTGTGTGTTCAATATCATCACACTCACCCACACCCACATCCACACCCTTGATGTCGAAAAGCTACTATAAAAAATAATAGATTTACTCTTCAAATTTATTCTATTCATATTCGTCCATTTATTCATTTAAAAAAAAAGATCCGTAAGGTAAAATGTAGTATAAATTGATACAACAACAAAACCATCTTCAGGGTGTGGGTGTATGGGTCATACAGTCTTCTATTTATTCACACCTACCCACGCCCACCCTCAATGAACTCAGGTCGATGATTCCTATAACAGTATTCTATAAGTTTCCAGTGAAAACACTCAGGAAACGCACAGTTTCTGGCAGGAACCCTACCGGAAAATGCTAGGAATACGGCCCGGGAATTGGTTCCGGATGGAATCGAACGGATCTGGTAATCGGGTCTGTTCAACGAGAATACTGCTTCTATGAAGTCTTTAGAATACAACGGAACCCGCCGTTTCTGTGCTGGATTGTTCGATCTGGGAATTTTTCTTCTCTCTAATTTTAACCAAAATCAACAGAACAACGCCTCGGAGAAGTCTACGAGCAGATCGCCCTCGTAAGTAATTATACGATTGCTAAAATATTTGAATTATTTTTCTACGTTTTAGTTAGAGCAAAAGGTCGCCCGTTCAGAACAACAACTCCAAAGGTATAATGACGGTTTAAGAAGACGGGCGGCCAGAACAAAAGCTCGTCTTCTACGTCTTCATCGTGGAGAGCGGAGACGTAGAAGACGCCGAGCAACAATAAATTAAGTAAAGTATGTCTTTCATTAAATGTCTTAAAATATTTTATTTGCTTTTTAGATTTAAAACAACAAAAAAATTAAAAAAAATGATGGGTATGCATCTATAGCTCATTTACATCAAAGCCCAACCAATGATAGAGCTGCATATTCCATAATTCCGTTACAGCAATGAATGAAACACTTTTACTTTCATCATTTGGTTAATTACTAATTGATGATAACATGATGCATTCGAGCTTTACATTCAACAGCAAATAATTAAAAGATTTTCAAATATTCTTAATTTTATTTGAAAACTCTATTATTCTATACGATGGTTTTAGAAAATATTTTTATTTTAAAATTGATGTTTAAAATCTACGATAAAAAAAAATAAATTTACTCTTCAAATTTCTTTTATTCATATTCGCCCGTTTATTTATTTAAAAAAAAAAGATCTGTAAGGTAAAATGTAGTATAAATTGATACAACAACAAAGCAAAACGACGAAAAAAAAGGGAAGGATCATTCTAGAAATATAAGTATGGAATGACTCTATAAATTCCATATTTATCTGCATATATATATTACGGAAAATAAACAGAAAATAAAAATAAATGACAATAATAAACGATAAATATTTTAATTTTGTATTGCACATACATACATACATCCACAAAATCTATTACAATGAATACTAATTCTTACGAATATATACTGTTATCTTATTTGAGATCAACATCTCCATTAATCTTTTTTCCAATATCATCAATCATAGAACGAAATATTCGATCAGCACGTAATGTTGTTAATGGTGTATCATCAAAATGTTTTAAAAATGCTTCTTTATTTTGTTCTTCAATATCAACCATTAATTGACGAACTAATTTAACTTCAAGTGAACGTTCTTCAAATAATGGATTATCATTTAAATATCGACTGAGTGCTGTATTTGCATTTTCAATATCGATACATAACGCACACATAGCTGCTCTATAAAACAAAAAGAAATATATTTAAATGATTAAAAAGAAATAGAAATAGAAATTAAGTACCTTAACCAATAATCTTTAGATGTAAATTTAAGCATAGCATCATCTTTTGTTTTATCAGCCATTTCTTCATATTCTTGTTGTGCATCAATAAATTGATGTTGAAGTACAAGTGTTTCAGCTATTTTCTTTTGTGTTCTATTTGCAGCTGCTTTTTGTCCTTCTTGTTTTAAAAATCGATATGCTTCGCGTAAACATTTTATCATATTTTCATGATCATTCATTTGTTCATATAATTCAGCAACTTTTTCTAATACTTGTGATGCCATTGTCCATTTACCTTGACTCATATGTAATTCAGCTGCACGTGTTAATGGTGATACAGCTTGAGGTAAATCAAACATTTTATATGATGATGATATTGATTCATACATTTGAGCTTTTTCATAATCTTCTGTACTTAAATCTAATGCTCGTTTATAAGCTTCAACCGACATTGGATAATCACCTTCAGCTTTTGCTGCATTTCCAGCTTGAATATAAAGTTCTCGAGCATCGTCAGTTGTTCCACTACCTGTTCCAATGATACGTTGAAAAAAACCATTAGCTGATTTAGCTTTTTTATTGGCGTCAGCCATTAATTGAGCAGCTGATTTATTAGTTCCGCTAGCCATGAATAATTAATCTGAAAAAAAAGAATGAAAAATATTCTATTTTGATTATGATATCTCAGATATATTTAAACAGAATAATTCTAATTACAAAAAAAAAAGAAAAAAAGTCAATATCCGATAGACGGACGAGCTTATTTTGATTTACATCTAAATAAAATAACAAAAATAGAATTTATTTAATGAAATAATTCGTGGTTTTTTGTTTTACCTTCCAACGATTTCCACAATTTTTACATAAAACAAATAAAGTCATTGGCTCATCAGCACTACGAGTTTGAGCTTCTGTGTATGCACAATTATTGTGTTTACATCTGAAAATATTCTTCTATATATTATATTTATTAATTTAAATGAATTTATTTTACCGTCGACATTGAATAAGATCAGTGCCCACACCTTCATCTGTTGCAAGTTGATATTCATTGATGGCTAAATCTGTTAATTTTGATCGTTCTTGTTTTAATGCATCACTAGCCATTTCCTATATTTACAAAAAAAAAGTATTTATTGAAAGAAAAAAAACAAAATAAAACAAACTTCAGCAGTAAGTACAGCTAATCTTTCAGGTGTTATTATACCGAGAAGAACATTGATACGAAGATTTGGATTTTTTGCATCTTTTAAATTAGAAATACGACTACGAATACGATTACGATATTTAACACCTGTATCTCTAAGTTCTTTATAAATTGCTAAAAAAGAAAATAAAAGAAAACAATTGAAATTTGAAATAAAGAAAACAAAAATAGTTACCATCTTCAACTCGTGCAGCTAATTCTACTGGATCAGCAGATCCTTCAGGTAGTTCAACCATTGAAAGTGCTCCAGCTAAGAGATCACGTGATTTTAAACTAAAATTACAAATAAATATATATTCTGATGCATAGTTATTAACTCATTCTTACCGAACTTCATCTTCTGTATGTAAAGCTGTAAAACTTTGTGATGATGAAGCTTTTTGAGATGGTTGTCGTTCAATTGATTTATTTGAATCGATATTTTTTCCACTATTTACATTTATTTCCTGAGAACTTTGACTACTATTATTATTTGATGATGTTGATGTTTGTTTTTCATCTTTAGTTGTTGGTACTGATGTCGATTCTTCAAAAACAAATAAAAATTATACGATAAGTAGATATATATTTAAATGATAAATAACAAACCAGGTACAAGTTTTTTCCAATTTTTCAAAAGACTTTTAGCGACAGTTGATAAATCTTCATTAGCAATTAATCGTCGTAAATTGTTTACAGTTTTTCCAATACCAGTTTTTTGAAGTATAGTAAGTGTTATACGTGATTCTTGTAAACGAACAAGTAAATCTCTAGCAATACTTTCATCCTATATATATATATATTTATTTACATAAAAGATAAATAATCAATCATATAAATGAACATACAACATCGGATTTATCAATCATTTTTTGTAATTTTCGATTAATTTTTACAATTTCTTCTTCAGCCATATTTCCTACTGGTATTAGAATCGATCTCTAAAAATAAATAAAAAGTAGCTTATTTGATCAAGTTTTGTTTTGTTTTTTAAAAGACATACTTGCTTGCTTGTCTGTCTGTTCTTCAAGACTGATTAGTCAAAAAATAAAATTAGTCATTGAGTCTCTTGTCAAAAATTTTCGAATTATTAAACAATTTTATTTGATAAAAATATCAAAAATAAAATAATTACTAAAATAATGAATTCTATTAGAAAAAAACTTTTAACAATAAACAGATGGCGTTAGTAGTAAGTTCAGATAAAGGTTTATGAGAAAATATTTCATTCGTTCATTTATAATTAATTTCCGATCGATAATCAATCAGTTAATATTGTAATTTAAATAAATTAATCAAGAATCTTTATGAATTTGTCTAATATTTTAATAGATATTATCATTGATGATAATAATTCAATAAAAAGATGAGAATAATTTTGATAAGTATGTTGAATCAATTATTATCGTATATATTACAGACATTAAATTGCACGAGATGACATCTACATATGTCGAGTTGAACACAAAAAAATGACACTTATATTACGATACATGAAGTATTCTATGTATCTGATCAAACTTCATATGAAATTTCAAAAATAGAACAAAACAAAAAGAAACTCATAATAGTTCATATATTTCATTGTTCAATAGTCGATAGAATATAGAAATTTTAATAATAAAAATATTTTTCTTGATGTTAATTTACATAAAATAAATCGTTTGTTTGCAAACATCACACTCGTCTTATGTATAAACAAAACGAAAGAGAAAAAAAAGAGATTAGAGCGGACATGATTTAACTTCAGCGAACGCGAACGATGACCATCAATAAGCAACGATTTAGTTACTATTATTCATTCATATACAATGACGACAAGTATTTTGACTTCATTTATAATCATTATATCGTTCATAGTTAAACGAAGTATGAAAAATAAAAATCATTAGAATTATTTATATATATCATAGAATATTTTCATCAATTTAGTACAAGCTGATTGTCAAAATAATACATTAACTGAAACGACATTTGTCTATCGACGTGTGTAAGTAAAGTTGACTAAATTTATTTTTCTTTTATTATTTACATATAGTTGTTATTTTGCAAATTGGGCTGCTAAACGATATGATAATATAAGTCGTTTAACTCCTGAAGATATTGATCCATTTTTATGTACACATATTAATTTTGCTTTTGCTAAAGTACTTGAAAGTTTAATAATAGCACCATATGAAGAAGATGATTTAAAAGGATGGACAGCAAATTCGAAAGGCATGTATGAACGTATATTAAAATTAAAAGAAACCAATCCTGATCTACGTGTTCTTCTGAGTGTTGGAGGATGGACGCATGCATCTCGTGGTTTTAATGAAGTATCAAAAACTGCTGCAAATATGTAAGTATTTCTTTATTAATATTAATAACTATATTGATATTTGATTCTTTTATTTATAAAATATAGAAAAAATTTTGTTAAAAATAGTGTGAAATTTTTACGTGAAAATAAATTTGATGGATTAGATTTAGATTGGGTAAAAATAATGTTTATTATATATTGATTTTATTATTTTTTATTTTCTTGATTTAAATAGGAATATCCAGGAGCAAAAGATCAAGGTGCTGAACCTCATTCAAAAACTGGTTATACAAAATTAGTAAAAGTAAGGAATGCATGATTTCTAAGAAATTATTTTTGTTTTATTTCTTTGAAATAGAAATTAAGTCGAGTATTCAAACGAGAAGCAGAACGTACGGGACAAGAAAAATTATTACTAACTTGTGCTACAGGTATAGAAATAAATAAAAACAAGATTTTCATAAGAATTATTTGATTATAGCTGCTGCACGACATCGAATCGAAGCTGGTTATGAAGTTGAAGAAGTTTGCAAGTAAGTATATATTCTTCGAAATATTTTATAAATTCTTTTTATGTCAAGATATTTTGATTTTGTATCAGTTATGACTTGTAAGTACAAGATGTAATCATCTAACTAATTCATATAATGAATGATTATTATGTAGATGATTATCATGGTAGTTGGGATGGTAAAACTGGTCATAATAGTCCATTATATGCAATGCGTAATGAACGAAAAAAATTTCGTGAATGGAATATAAATAGTTCAATGCTTGTATGGGAAGAACTTGGATGTCCGAAAGAAAAACTTAATATTGGTCTTTCAGCTTATGGTTTGTTTGTTTGTATTTTTTATGAAATTTTCTATAATAAATAATTTATTGTAGGACGAGCTTTTTCATTATTTGGAGAAACAGGTATGTCGAATGGTAAACCAGTAACAAAGAAAAAATCATCCATTGGAATAAAAGCAAGTGCAGCCGAAGCTGGAAAATATACACGAGAAGCCGGTGTTCTAGCTTATTATGAAGTAAATATTAATATCAATAGAATAAACAATTATTTTATATAAAAAAAATAGATTTGTGAATTACTTCAAAATAATCCAAGTAATCGTGTATTTTGGCATCAACAAATGAGTGTTCCATATGTATCAAGTAAAACTTTATGGATTGGTTTTGATAATATTCGAAGTGTTACACTTAAAGTAAAAAGAAAAATAAGTTTTCATTAATTTATTAAGAAATATTTAGATGCAATTCTTAAAAGAACATGGTTATGGTGGTGTAATTATTTGGTCATTAGATCTTGATGATAAAACAGGTACAGTTTGTAATGAAGGACCATTTCCAATATTTAATGCAGCTAAACGTGAATTACTTATTTTACCTGATCATTTAATAAATAAAGATAAAAAATGTTCAGATGATAATATAACAATTACAATTGAACATCTTCATTCCAAAATGACAAAAATTAAACAAAGTAAAAATTCGAAATAAAATAGAATTTTTCACGAAATAGAAATTCTTGTTTTTTTTTTTCTTTTAGATTTTTTTCTTTCGTTTTTACCTGGTGTTATTAAATTTATTTATTTAAATTCTAATAAAAAATTTTGTAATTTTTAGATGAAACAAATAAATAATTGAAACAAAAATAAAACTAAACCCACTAAGTTTATTATCGAGGAGGAAATTCACGTGTATAGTGTAATCATATTTTCAAGATATTGACAAATAGATATTCATACATTTTACTGAAAACTATTTCTAACGTTTCATTTTATAATCAATTGAAAATTATTCATACTACTCATTTATTTTTCTAGATGGTTGATCATTTAACTGAATTACGTGAACAAGCTGGTCTTGCTTTATGTGCTAAACGTTATAATGATATAATTTTAATCTATAAAACCTATCTCAAAACTTATACTGATATTCCACCAACAGATCGTCAAATACTTTATACAGCTTATAATAAACTTATTCTTGATTATAATTTTAAATCTTATTGGAAATTAACATCAATTGAATTAAATAAAACACTTGATTTGAATTATTTAGAAATGATTGAAAATGAAATTGATTATTTATGTAATGATATTGTACAATTAATTAATAATTATTTTCTTGCATCAACATTAAATAAAGATCTTGATATTGTTATAACATTAAGACAACGTGCTGATTTTCTTTTTTTTAATTCTTCAATTGCAAGACCAGCTACAAAACAGATTATGCTACAATCAGCTTTACGTTCATATACGGAAGGTAAATTCGATTATTTTTTTAATTAATTATTATATGAAATAAATTAATGACAGGTGTTGAACGATCTCGTTTAACTTTACCAATAAATGAACCTGAACGAGTATTAATACAACTTCGTAAATGTGCTTGTGATGTACAATTATCCAATGGAAAATGTACTTCATCGACATATTTAGAATTAATTGATGTTATAAAAGAAATGAAATCTTCTATTCTATCATCAGATGATCCATTACTTATTCAAATAGAATCCTATCGATTAGAATTAGAAAAAATTTTATGTTAAAATATATATATTTGTTTTTATAGAAATTGTATTTTGAACTTATAATGATATATTATTGAACTATTTTTTTTTGTTACGAATAAAATAATTGAACAAACTTTATTTTTCATTACAAGTATTTTCTTGCTCAATTCACAAAAATATAAAGAGAATGACTTCATAAGTTTTTTTTAAAAAAAAAATATGTCATACATTTATTTAACCTGTTACATTAAGTTTTTTTTCATACCAAAAAAGGTGATTTCAAAATGTATACTCATTCCTAATAAGGTAATAATACATTATTGACTAACGATAGATGACTCATAAGCACATGTCTTTCGTTCTGTTCTTTTTATCTTGCTATATTAATACAACTCTATAGAGAAAGAATACTATATTCCATAAACTATTTTTTTTTCTTCTGCGTAGATATATAGATATATATATATATATACATATGTGTATATTTCTTTTTCTAGAAAGAAGAAAAAACTAGCAGCATCGTGACATAATATGGCATCATCAGTTGAGATAGATTTATGTCCTATAAATGACCTTCCTGAACTTGTATTAGTTGAAATATTTTCTTATTTACCAATTGATGAACGACCTGCTTTAGAAGAAACATGTAAATTGTGGTATAATATTATACGAAATTCTCCTAGTCTTGCATTTACTTGTACAATACGATTACATGCACTTGTAGAAGAATCTATTAATCCAATTCGAACACGATTAGGTCGTGTTCTACCTCGATGGACACGAATAACTCAAAGTCAATCGAAACCTGCAGCAGCTATTGATCCAAGACCATATGGTTATATTCAACAATATGTCAAACGATTTCGTCATGATATTAAACATTTATATATTGATGTTGAACAACATGATCCTTCCTGTCGTTATGTTCTTTGTCAACTTTTAACACTTTTTGGTCCTGAACAATGTTCAAAAGGTCGACAAATTCGTACATTTTGTTTACGTTTTACTACTAATAATCCATTATTAATGAAATCTCTAGAAATAATTCAAGCATTACGAATATTCTTTCAATATGATGGTTCTAAAAATCGTCGAGAATCTCTAATTTCATGTGATTTCTCTGGTCTTACAATATCATTAGATGATGATACAATATTAACATTAGCTAAACATAATCCATATTTACGTAAATTAAATTTACAAGATCAATCATTAGTTTGTATATTAACACCATTTTGTATTTTACAAATAATTGATATGCTTAAAGAACTTGAAGATTTATGGATTGATATGATATCTTTATCAGATGAATTTATTTTAATGCTTACTGGAAATGATGATGAACAACCATTTATACAAAAATCACCACTTAAACATTTAGGTATAAGAATAAGACGAGAAGAAAAATTTTCCGATGAAATTGATGCAAAATTATGGCAAAAATTACATGAAAAATATCCACATATGAAAATGACATTAAATTTTGGTTTAACAACACCACCTAATCGTGTTCGAGCTTATCTAAATCCAGATTTACAATTACCGGTATGTTTAATTTATAAATATATATATAAATTTTCTCATTCTTTTCTTAAGGTGCAAACATTAATTATGAATTCAGCAATTCCACTTGTTGATGAACTTTGTTTAGCAGCAAATAGTTTTGGTGATACATTAGAAAATATACATATATGTACATCAAATCAATGGGCTGAACTTACACGAACGCCTGCATTTAATAAAGTTATATTTTATATAGCATATAAATGTATTCATTTACGTACACTTTATGTTGATGCTGCACTAAATCAAGATACAATTGAAGATATTTATCGATTACATCCTCATTTGAAAGAACCTGGTGCAAGTAAACTTCTTCTTGTTGATAATCCAACACATATTATTCTTCCAGAAGATATGGGCGATTTATTTGGATGATTTCTTACTTTAAATTCTTCTTATTTTCACAGAGAAATTTATACAAACAATCATTAACAAACTGTTGTTCATATAATATTCATGCTTGTATTTTGAAAATAATCCCTTTGTTTCTATAAAATATCTTTTGAGTTTATTTTTATTTGAATATTTCTTAAAATTAACAATATGATTATATCAAATAAAACAAAGAATACTAAGAATTTGTATTGTTTTATAAAAAGAAAAATATAATATTCGTAGTACGATCAATTACTAATAATTATATGAATTTGAACTGTTGATACTTTTTCAAATTTTTCTTCTGTGAACAATTATATATAATAAAGTTTGTTTTCATCGTATATTTTAATTATATACTCTGTGTTAAATAACAGCAGAGAGGTAGTACATGGAGAATTCTTAATCTCAATATGTTATAGGATTTTCTTGGATAACTCATTTAAGCATCGTGTATTCTTATAGATACAATTATTTTCAATGGAATAAAAGTTCTAAAAAAAAACAAGATACTTGAATCTAACAGAGAATAATTATGTGCATATTCTTTATCTATAAAGAAACTTTCATTTCGATTTTAGTATAGTTATGAATGATTCTGAATAGCAGTAACTGGAAGAATTATTAAGTAAATCTGATTAACAAACTGATCAGATGTATAAATTGTTATTAAAGATCTACTAGAAATCTTATATTTATTTTCTTTCGCTTTCCTTACATCTGATGATATACAAAAAAAGTATGTTTATTTTTAAAAGGTCTTCGTTTGAAATAATTTGTTCAAGCTGAAATGATGACTATTAGATGTTATAAAAAAAAGCTGATTCAAAACATATTACTAAAGCAACAGAACATAAATAAATAAAAGAAGAAAAGAAGCAATGAATATGATTTATATATTTTAGCTGATGTTTAGCAACAGTATTCGTTACTATAGTTAATTATAATAGTAAAACATCAGTTATGAGTTATGCTGATGAAATTTATTCTAATCCATAGATTACAAGTATATACAGCTGCATTAATCATCAATCATAAGACGAATGATTTTATGTATAATAAAACTAAAAATTCTATTCACAAATTCTTATAAAATAATTTCATTGATTCATTTATCAAACTTGACTACTCTATATATTTTAACTACCATAATGTGTCACTTTTTGTATCGACATATTTTTCAATAGCGTAAGTATTCAGTATCAATATTATACAAAATACAATAAACCTAGTAGCTAAACTTCGTCCCTATCATATTACATCACAAACATAAAAGAATAACTAAAATAATATAATTTATATCTTCAAGCTCATAAATTCCATCATTATATATCAAATAGCAATGCATAAATCAAAACAATATAATTATACTCTATTTTATAAAATGAAATGTCCATATAAATACAGTGGAATTATTTCTAAAATGAATGAACAGATTTTTAAATTTTGTAAGACTTTAACATTAAAAAAGTCTGTTATTCTTCGTTTCAATAGTTTTGAGAAAAAACTGTTGTTTATTTAGCTATGAATATTTATCTATGAATTGTATCCTGTTAGTTTCATGTATACGTAAGATTTATATAAAATTCTATTTTCTTCATTTATTGAATATGTACGTCATTGTTTATTCTGTTTGACTATTATGACTGATGATATAATCTTTTTATACTCTGTAAATTCATATAGGATGATATGATTATATAATCATGTATAAAAATTCTTTATCCACTTCAAAAATTCATTAGTTCCATATTAGCAGATTACCTCCAGTTAAGAGTACAATGAATTTTTTTATGATCTTATTAAAATTTTAGTCTATATTTTTATATGAAAATGATTTCATTTTAATTATTTTTCTTTTTACTTGCTTCAGTTTTAAAAAAATAATCTAACATATCAACAACAACAAAAGTTGAAATATTTTTTGATAAAAGTTTAAGTAAAAAGTAATTATTGCCTGTTAAATGTTCTTTGGCAAAACATTGTATTTTATCATCAGGATATTTTGTTCCATCAATAAGATGTGTTCGTACATAACTTTCACGTGTTTTATCACTACTTACAAGACAATGTATTAAATGTGCAATCCATTTGATAAAATCAGCTAATGTTATTATTCCTAATAATATAAACCAAATATATAAAAATACATACATTTTTTCCACAATAATATTTAATGGTAAAATACATTCAACAGTATAAGCATGATTAGATGCTAATTCACGAAATGTAAAATCACAAAGTGTACGTTTTGGAAATGAACTTGTATCAATTAATTCCGATACACCTGAACTTATTTTTTGTACGAATTGAGCAAGAAAATGTGTTTCAAATGTATCCTGTTTTAAATGATTAAAATGATGTAAACCCAATGGACGTGTACCAATCATAAGATGAACTAAACCAATTTGAAGTAAACAATTTACGAAATATAAAAATTTTACACCAATATAACATATAATAAAATAACATGAAAATATTCGACTACGAGGATGTCGACGGGCTCCACGAGGAATAATACCTTCATCTTCTCCACTAAATAATTGAGAATTTAAATAAACAAGTTTATCTTCACGAAATGATGATATTGGTTTTTTCTTTTGAAAATCAGGTACAACATATATTTTACTTGCTGTATTCAATAAAGCTTTGACATCATGTCGACTACCTGAAAGTGATAAGAACCAAATAAGTTTTGGTAGATAAAAAAGAATTGCTTGTGCGCCAAGAATCCACGGCTAATATATAGAAATCAATAAATAAAGATTTGTTGTTTTTTTCTATATTTTTTCAAAATACATACCAACCATTGATAATAAATTATCAATGATTCATATCGTTCATTAGCTGTCGAAGGTATTCGTCGATCACTTGGAACATAATATGTATTATTCGCATAACAATAAGCTGTTATCGCTTTTTCATATTTTCTTAATTGTGCAGGTATCCAACAAATAATAGGTACTGAATACGATGTTTTAACACCACATAATATCGCAAAAAAACATAATACATTTGTTGTAAATTTATAACTTAGACGATCAATAAGAAAATCATCTGCTTTAGCACGAATATTTGCAAATGATAAAATACCAGAAAATTTGTCAGCTATTTTGAATAACTCCATTCAAAATTTATAACTATCACAGAAGTTGATTTATGCGTATGTATGTATGTGTGCACGCTGCAAGCAATCACCTCTATACTGTTAGACGTGTAGAAAGTTTTTTTTTCTCCTTCTTCAACACCACATACCCTGGCTGCCTTGCTCGATATATATATATATATATTTATATATTGTCTCCTCACAAGTGAGCAAAGAGAACAAACGAAGAACAGAAAAAAAAAGTTTGACGTAATACTTTAGGCAATAAATGTGTACCCTACTTTGTATGCAATTGTGTGTTATAGTATTGCACACGTACGGTTGTACAAAAAAAAGGAGTAAGAGGAAAAAAAGAAAGTAGACTAGTTCTCGTTTTTAGTTGCTAGTCAAGCAAGATTTTATTCTCTTCTCCTGATCGGATGATTATTCCTCTCCTATCATCAGATCGATGCAAAAAAAAAGAGAAAGAAAAGATCGATAATAAGATGAGAATGTCAAGCCAATGTAAAATGACTATCAATGTATCATTACTACTGAGTAACAATTTAGTCAATGCCATTCTTCTTTATCAATACGAAATAGAAGCGAACAAGATAAGCATGTTTGCAAACAATAGATATAATGTAACAAAAGACAAAAAAAATTTATTATTTTTAATAAAGAAAAATAATACATAGAAATAAATAGAAAAAGAATTTAATTTTCTTCAATTTTTGTTGAATGAAAAATATCATCGAGCCAATCTTGTTGTGACGGTATAAATCCTTGAGATTGATAATTAAGATTTTCTGCACTAATATTAAAAAGAGATAAATTTGGTCGAAGTGAATATCGTACATGGTAATCATCATCATCTTCTTCTTCTTCAATATTAACTTCTACATGTATATTTCGATAACAATTTTCTTTTTCACAATTATCAGTATAAATAATTTTTGCAATAGAATGTGGTAATTGACGGCGAAGTAAAGGTGCACTTTGTGGTACAAAATTAATATTCTAATAAAAAAATGAAAAATAGAAATTAAGAAAAAAAAAATTTATTATTTACCTTGATAACAGTTTCTGTTGGTTGAACTTTTTTGGTATTATTTTTAAATGTTTGTTGTGATTTTTTTGATGTAAATGAAAGAGTACGTGTAATACGAGAAAAAAACTTTGATAATGATGATGATGATGACGATGAGCATTTTTGAGTTTTGTTTGTAGGCATGTTTTGTAATTGAATAGTAAACTTGTAGAATGTTATGAAATATTATATATGCAAAGGTATAATATCAAGTTCATCATAACAAGTTTAACTTAATTGGTTATGACAATTAAGAATAAATGTTTGATTTATATGATTCAACATTATTGTTCTTTTTCTCTTCTTACAATAGGACAATTGGCTCAATTAATGTACTCGCGTTTTGATCATCTTATTTTAACCCTGTCTATATTCGTTAATTAATGATAAATAACATGAAACATATGTTCGTCTATGAGTGGAATAGAACAGCTAGAAACATCTGTACGATATGATATGCTTCGAAGGTATATTATATAATGTTAAGAGATAAGAGTAAACAATGATTTGGATAGTATTTTTATTGTCAAAAGTATTGATGGAATTATCCATATGAAAATGTCAGCTTGTGTATATTTGCTACGAAAAATACTTGTCATTGTTAAAATATCGAGCACCAAACCAACTAAATGTAAATGATGTTGAATATAAAAGAATGGTATTAAAAATATTTAAAGAATTAGGAAATTTCTTTAATGAACGAATCAATGTACTAGTAAGGAGAAGACTCGTTAGAATTGAAATTGAAACAAGAATAGTTGTTCTTGCTATAGATAACGTTGTCGAATTATTGATAGTTTTTGAAAGACTAATATTGCTTAACTGTTCTAGATGATTCTGAAATGAGGATGAAATTGATATACATATTAATAATTACTCTTACTGGTAAATGATGATTGAGAGTTCGCTTTCTGTTTTCTATGTAGACATGAATATTTTTGTGTTAAGGATCGTGTTGGAAACTGCATATTTATTTTTGAATTGGTATTAGTATATTGTTGTTGACTATTTTGATTTCGATTAGCAAATAAACATTTTAGTTCGTCAATAAGTAGATTTTTTAGTTTTGTCTGTTGTACATCATATTGATTATTATTTGTCTTTCGCTTTTTAGTTATTAATGATGAACGCGAAGTTGATAATAAACATATCTTTTTGGAATTTGTATTGGAATTACTCTCTAAGAAAAATGAAAAGAATTTTATGACCGAATTGTAGATGCTTTTACTAACCAATATTAGATGGCAAACATAAACGTTTCTTAGTAGATAACACACGACGACCAATTATTCCTTCTGGTTGTAGATTATCAGAAGATTGATTATAATCGAAACTATCTTTTAATCGTTGAAAAATAACCATCAAAATGATTGATATGCTAAGTTTCGTTGAGAATTTAGAAAAAAAACTGAGAATAATATTTAGGAAAGGAAATTCATTCTAGCGCCTATCACTGTTTTTTATCTTTATTGATGAAATTATTTATTTATATAGACATTAAGAAGAGTTCAATATCATTTGATGCTTGCGGAGCGAAATAACAAGGTTATATTGGAATACTCATTTTCTGACTTTTGATTTCATTAATCAAAAACTGAGATTGATAAAATGATTGATGTATAAAAACATACTGATATGACGAATAGATTTATTTTTTAATGAGTGTACACTTTTTTTGTGCATTATTTTAAATAAGATGTATAAGTTTGCCTATGATCAATTTATATACTAAAAATAAATTCATTTTTTGAAAAGCATTAGAATATCTACAATTAGATGAATAAAACAAAATGAATAGTCTGAAAAGAATAAGATGGTGAAAGAGAATTGCACTGAATGAGATGAATTAAAAACAAGTTGTGCAACAGCAGTTGAATAGATTAATAGCTTCAGTTGAATTGAATAAAATATATTCAAATCAAAGGCACCACATGAATTTACTTGATTTATTTGCACTAAAAATGAATGAAAAGAAAAAATTATTTGGATGAAATAAATACAAATAAATGTGTTCGAATAGCATATGCGTATTTCATTGTAATTTACAAATCTCCATAAAATTGTCAATAACGTTTTTGTATTTATTTTTGTAGGGCATATGTTGTATATATAAATAGCATTGAATAATGTTTTTGTACTATCACAATCTAGGATTCAATAAAAAACGTGAAAACTATGTTCTCAACTTCGTGGTATCTCACAGGGCTGGTATTGGTGTTTACATATATTCAATACGTTAATACAGAAGAACCATCATGGAAAGTGTGGCCATACGCTATGGTTGCCAATAATACTGATATGACATTTCCAGGTGCTGAGGCTGCACATCTTCAGTATCAGGGTGATGCATGGTTTGTTACAGGCCGACTCCGAGGGATTCTATCTAATACGACTATCCAGATGTTAAACTACTCTTAAAAAAACTGCAAAACTCATATACAGAACTTTATCCTTTCGAACGATGTATGGTAATGCTCCATGGAATCATACTACATTCAACAATGGCTCGTACATTCCATTCGTCTATCAAGTTCGTTTACCTGGCATTGATAAACAAGGTCGTAATTTCTCAATTGATCTTGAGATTGATCCAATGAAATATCCATCTCCATATGGTGGAAATACATTGAACGGTAGATTTACTTTTTATGATCAGCCAAATACGCTGTCTTGGTTTGAAACTGGTCTGGAACTGAATGGCACAGTAACGTGGGGCGATATTACCGAGCCAGTAGTTGGTAATACTGGACACATTGATCGTCAATACTTTCCACTCTATGCTGGTATCTTTTCACCAACAGGCCAACAAGTATCTCACATGTGGTACCAGATCAACTAGCTAACGGTATCGATCTGAATATTTCGTTGAGTTTAATATTTGTTAATGATTTTACCATTGTTGAAAAGTTTTATACGATCAGATTCGTATGAATATTTTCATCGATCAATTGCTGCTAAGAGATTAAGGGTGAGTGTGAGTGTCCGTGTCTACTAACAGAAGAGATACCCACACCCTCAAGAATTAGAAATATATCAATATAGAATTTATATCGTTGACATTATTTTCATTTATTTTTTATAGACATGAACTTGTATAAGTGAAGAAAAAACAAAGTTATTCAATAAAAACAATCATATTTTTCTTAATTTAATGTTATAGATTTAGACAAAAAAAACAAATGTATAACAGAGATTCTCTTATAAAAAAAACATACACATGAAAGACTAATTCTCTATAATGAAGAATTATTTTGTAAGCACATAATAGCATCTTGTAATAATTGATTTTTTTTAATTTGTTCTTCAATTTGATTTTCATACTCAATTTGAATTTTTTTATTCTTTACTTCAATATCTTCAACTCGTTTATTTAAATCTCGATTAAGTTTACATAATTGAATAAAATCTTGTTTAATATCATTACATTTATTTTCAAATTCTGCAAGATTTTCTTTTGTTTTATTTAAATGTTCTCGACTTGTTAAAATTTGTTTATTAAGATTATATTTAGCTAAAGCAAATTGAGTTTTATATAATATATGTATTGGACGCATAAATTCTGTTAAATTTCGAAATATTGGATACCATCGTCTGACTTGATGAACATTTGTTTCATCAATTAGACGATATTGTGATAAACTACATACATATTCTGGTGATGTATATTTATGAATTGAAAGTATTTTTCCATTTAAATAATGTGGTGCATCAAGAAGAACACGATCCGATGAATCAAACTCTTCAAATGTTATCAGACATATACCAGCAGTACCTTCTTCGTCAAGCATTTTTGTCTCCATAACTTTTCCATATTCACCAAAATATGAACGAATATTTGCATTATTAAATAATGGATCTATTTAAAAGAAATTAAATATAAAATTGTCAAAAATATGATGATTATACCTGGTAAACTTATACGAATAACAATATCTGGTGTTGACATAAGTCTTTCACATTTAGTAACATTATCTGGTAATAAACGTTTAAGTGTGATTCCATATTCATCATAAAATTCAGCTCTTTTTTCCATACAATAATTAACACAAGCTTCGTCAGTAAATGTTATAAATGCAAATGATTTGCCTAGAAGAATTTATAAAATAAATTCTATAAATAAACAATAATTTACCATCAAATCTTGCATCATTATATTCCATTATTTCACAATGTACGACATATTGATCATCATTTCTAGTAGCATGTTTATTAAAATAAGCACATAGTTTTTCATTCGTCCATATCTGTTTATCAAGTACACCAACAAATAACTGTCGACGTTTTGACATCAATCTGAAATTATAAATAGTAAAGTCGATTTTTGTATGGTAAAATAGTTTCCGTATGTAGAATTTAATATCTATTTTATATATGATTTATAATTAATTAGTTTAAAAGCAAGATTTATATTTAAATACTTTATATTTTGTTTCGTATTTAAGGCATACAAGAAAAACAACAAAAATTGACATACTGTTCAAATGCATTAAGCAATAAAAATCAGAAAATAATCTTTTATACAAACACGCAAAAACAAAGACAATAAGCAATAACAAATACTGGTTTAAAATATATGAAGGTGAATTTATTTCAAAAAGGCTAATGGACTGTATCAACTAAACAACATTTGTTTATTGATTGACAATTTGTTCGACTTCTATATTAGAAAGAGTATATAATATATATGATTATTATTCGATTATTTTTTCACTCACCATTACTTTCATTCTCCGCTTGTTTATCCGCATGATCTACTAGTGGAATATAAAATGAATGATAACGAAATTTTATTTAATAAACTTACATGTTTTAGAATTTGTTGAGATGCTTTTCGTCGAAGAAGAAGAAGAACTGATCACTAATAAAAGTAAAAATTCAAAATTATTAGATTGTAAATGAAAATATCAGATAGAACTTACGGTTATCTTTTGTAACAATACTTTGTTGTAATTGATCACTATTAACAACTGTTGATTTCAAATGAATGAGTTCTACATACAAAATATATCGTAAAAAAAATTATATGGAAAACATTTCATTTTACCTTTTGAACATTTGCATTCATCTATTTTTCCTCGTAATTTATCAAGATCAGACTGGAATTTATTGAGAACAACGGTTGTCTATAAACAAATATATGATATTGATTAATCAATTATAATTATTCTTTAAACATCCTCACATTTATTAAATGAATGATATTTTTAACAGTTGTTTTTGATTAAAGATTCAAAAAACTCTGTCTTTATTTATTCGTGAAAGTTTCTTTTAATTGTTACATGCTCGTTAGTTACAATTTATCTTAATAATCCGAAAGCAGAATTATTGCCTGATAGATTAGGATGAGATGAAAATAGATCGGTCATAACTAAATAAAGTGACGATGTAATTAGCAACGAGAGAAGTAAGAGTTTATTATTTCCTCAACTAGTCTTATACACCTAATCGGATACTGATTTTGTTCTGAAATCTTTTAAAAAAGCTAGAATCAATGATTTCAAAGCGCATATAACAATTACGAAAATTGAAAGTAATAAATCTTTGTATTATAAATAAGAGCGGGGTTTTGTAAATATTATTTATGTAATGGGAACGAAAATATCTGAAGAATGTTTCGGGATTCTAAAGAATGTAATCTGAAATATCTATCTTTATAACACTTGTTACTATCAAGAGACATTCATCGTTTTCTATCGTCATAGATTTTTGTGATAGACTAATCTCAACATACATTAATGTATAATGTGAGTTATCTTCTTCAACAAAATCATTTTACAATGTGATAATTGTATCATATATTCATACTACAAACTACTGTAATTTGAGTCAATTCATCATGAAAAGATAATGGTAATATATCAATATACAAACAATGACAATAAATGTCTTTGATCCTAAGTGATTACTACACAGACAAAGATAATAAAGATCGCATTTAATAATAGTAAAAGTTCGAATTCAAGAAGCTGAACTAATTAAAAATGTCAATGTCTATTACATTTACAGATGAAGAATGGAAAGAAAAAAGAAAGTCATACTTTATCAGATGAGTTATGAAAAAACTGGGTTAATTCGTCTACATATGTTGTTAATTGTTGTATTTTAATAGTTTGATTGAAATTAAGAACATCATTCTTAAAACAAAAATAAAATAATTTTTCATTTCATTTCTATATTAAAATATTTACTCGTAGAGAATTTAATTGATCATACACTTCAACAAAAGTTTTATTAATCATATTTTCCAATTGTTGATTTTTTACATATAATTTATTAGTTTGTTTAGGAGATGTTATTAATCTACGTTCAATAAGTCGACTTTTAGATGAAATAACATTATTATCATTAATTAATGAAAAATTCAAATGTTCAAGAAAATTTAATCGAATTTTAATTTGTTCAATAGTTGATAAAATATTATTTAAGTCTAAATCCGAAGATTTCTTTTCGACTAATTAAACAAAAAATAAAATTTAACAATTTGAAAAATAAATAAATTATAATTTACTTTCAGTAATACGTGATGAAAGATGTTGAATTTCATTTTTTAATTTAATATTTGAAGAAATTAACCCAACACTATCAAAAGACAAGAAAAATTTAATAGAAATATTTGAAATTGTTCTTACCAAACAAATAGAAATAAACAAAGAAGAGTAAAACAAGAAATATATTGAAAATATTTCCAACAGAAACGATATCGAGATGTACGTCTATAAAGAATAAAATCAATTTTTATTATAAGAATTATATAAATTTACGATTTTGTTATTGATAATTTTTGTTGTGGTAAAAATAATTCATCTTCAGAACTTCGAAGAATATCATTGGAATTTGTTTTTGTTAAACGAAATTTTAATAAATTATTAAGTTGTTTACGTTTTCGCATTTTTTTATTTGAATTACGTGGAATGTTTGAGGATACACCAGCTTCTAGATCATTAACAATATTATCCATTATATTAGATTTATTCGATAACAATCTCGTTGTAATTTAATCGAATTGTAACTGACAAATATAAATATCTCGTATGACAATTATCAATAAGCATCTAAAGAAGTAAAAATAAACTTTAGAATTTATTTATTTAAAGGTCATCATTGAATAAAAATATGACTTAACGTCAGAATGATAAATGAAAAAAATAAGTTAAACTATTATTTCCCATGATTCAAATTATTAAGAAGAGAAAAAAAATCGAAACATAAGTCATTCTGCTGTTCTTCCCATTTTTTATTATATAGTATTTATAACCATTGATAAACATATGCAGCTAGAGGACGGTAGTTATCAGAGTTGATTCGAAGATAAGATATAAAATATTATTATGACCTTATAAGAAGTAAAGATAAAGAATAACTATTCTTGACAATTTGCAAAAAAACAATAGTTATATAAAATCGACATAAAAGAGTTTGTTTTCTGATTTTCTAAAAATAGAAAAATACGGTCTATAACGCATGGAAGAATATAATACAATATTGGAATAAATTGACGATATATTCATATAAATAAAATCTACGAAAATACAAAAAATCGATTGTTTTCATTTTGTCTATTTTTTCGATGGTATAATACCGTATTAATTAGTCTTAAATATTGTTTTTTTAAGTCATTACTCTTCACATACTAGCTTGTCTTATATAGTCATAAGAAAAGTGTTCTATCTTGGATCGTAATAGTCTTGACGAAAAATACGCATAATATACAATATTTTAAGTACGTAAATGTGTCTGTTTGTTGTACTGTTGGTTTATAGACATTCATTTTTCTATTTTAATTAGTGTATTAATCTATTTATTATACATTGAAATATTTCCAATGACAAAAAGAAAGGATATGCAACATTGATCCCAGTGAATACTACAATAGATTTATGTTCAATTATTTAAAATAATAATTTTGCTATTTTTATTATATACTTCTACTATAATATGAGCTGCGTTGATTTTGTCAATAACTATTGCAAAATAAGGTCCAGCTAGGTTCAAGAGTGAATTCAAAAAAATCTGTGTACTACATTCTACTGTAATAAGAATTGGATCATGTAGTGAATAACTATCGGGTTTGCAAAAGCTAAGTATCAAAAGTAATGTACTGCCTTGTCGTACAGAAAAAATACAATATATTATTGCTATTATATTGAGTCATCAGTTACTTTATAAGTTTAATTACAGTTACTGAAATTTACGAATTAACTAATAATGTTATTATGAAATGACATAACTGAGGTTTGTTTGGGAGCATAATTACTTTTACTACAGTCAGCATCTTGCAGGTGTTGGTAGGAGATGCAGATAAAATTTCTCAGATAATATAGGTTGTGACAAACTAGTATTATACTCTTTATCATAAATTACTTGTATTTTTTGAAAATTAAACTCTTGTCGTGATGTTATTCTCCATTTTGCATTCACAATAAATGAATCTCTTTAAAAAATGCACTTAGTCAAAGGGTAAAAATAATAAGTTACAAAAAAAAGAATGAAGTCAAAAAAACATGTTTACATTAGGAGGGTTATTATGATATAAAAGATCGCAAACGGGTGTTCACATTAAAGAGAGTCATATTCAGTAGAAATCCCTCCGTCAGATCGAACTTTGTTCATAATCAGGAGGTGTTTACTAATAGAGATTTTACTCTATATTAGCCTATTGAATATATATTAATAGTTTCATAAAAAGAAATTTCTTCATTGACAGTTTTCTTATCAAACTATTTGAAAAATAAAATTCAATGTGAAAATGACTAATAAAATTAAAATAGGAATGTTTTCATTAAATCATCGAATACTTTCAAATATTCAAAAACAAATATTTTTTTCTAATTTATTTTAACTATAACATTGACGACGTTTCATTCCAGAATGTACCGTAATCAGACATTTATTTTTCAAAAAGTACCAGATGCGCGTGATATTTTTCAACAAAACAAATAGATTCTATTCTGATCGAAATTAAAGAAACAATATAAAATACGAAAACCAACTTTTTTTTCTTATTCATACAAAGGATTCATTGATGAAGATTGAGAACTTGAACAAATATTAATAATATGAAAAACAAATTCATACTATTATTTTTGTCATGTTTTTTTCTTTCTGATCAAATATAATTATTCCTTCAAAAACATCTATATATACGGATGTCCTAAACGAATATAATCAGTAGGAAAAATTCTAAAGACGATGGAAGACACAATGAAATTCAAATATGTGAGATCCTATATTTCAATCAAATCTTGATCATCCACCAACAATATGATCTCTTAGCGCAACAAGTTGATCATCTTGTGTATTTACATTTACAAATTCTTCTATTTATTATAGTAACTTATATAAATTCCACAATTCAAAGGTCCAAATAATGATGGTTTTAGACCTCAATCTCTTACATTCGTTTAGCTCTAACTGATGCTGTTGTCTTTTATGCAACAGTTTCTCATAAAACAAAAAAGAGAGAACATTTCTTCTTCTCAAACTACTAATAATAAATTAAACTTTATTTTCAATTAATATAAACATAAAACTATTTTAGATAAACATTTATATTCATTTCATTTAGAAATGTCTCATATTGATATTTGGTATCTATTGGAAATGATATGTTTACTTTGTTTATTAATAACATTATTATTTGAATTGATTCTAAATTATCCATTGAAAATATTTGATTATGGATCAATAATGAAAATATTTGTTGGAATTCTAAATATAAATGTATCACTATGTTATTTTCTTTGGATTGATCAAATAACAATTGAAAATCTTCTTTATGGTTTAATTCTATTCTATGGATTATTTCTTCTTTATCCAATTCAAGTTGCTAAAGAAAATAGTCACATCATTGTTCAATCAAATTTAATCAATCATTTTATACTCAAATCGATTCATTTAATTGGAATCTCTTGTCTATTTTTCTTTTTTCATTTCACTAATAGAATCTTCTTTTTGAAAATCTTTCAAATAACAAAGTCATATTTGTGGATACAAAAATTCATTGGTATTATGCTTCCATCAATAATTAATTCAATTGGATTTGCTTCTCAAATCATTTCCACTCTTTCAATCAAATATTCTTTTCATTCTAATCATCTTTTATTTATTTTTATTGGATTCATTGGAATGATGACTGCATCAATTTCTATATGTTTAAAAGAAAACTTTCAAATTATTGCTTTAATTCTCTATACTCTTTTGATTTTATTTCAAATTATCATGTTAAAACTTCAATTAGACAAACTTTTATTGATGAACAGAATGCAAGATCGACTTCAATTCGAATATCAACCAATGCAAGAATATATAGGTAACTCTTTTGTCTTTAAAGTCATTCTATGCATTGATATATCAGAAAGATGCAGATAATCATTAAATTCTACAAATAACATTTACTTTTTTTCATGTGAAAACTTTTAGAACAACTTATATCCACTGATAACAAAGAAAAAGAAGCGAAATCAAATGGTTTAAGATATGTTTCACATCGATATCAATTTGAAAAAGCGATTGAATATTTTGAAAAGAAGTTTATTGAAGATGGAACAACTTCAGATGAAAATATTCTAAACAAAAAACAATTTCAAGTAGATGTACAATTAAAAAAGATTTTTCCAGATCATACAGACGTTTATCATGTTCCACATGGACAATCAGATCAAGACATTGCTAGGTATTATAGATTAATTTTAATTCTTAATTTTCAGAAATATATATCTCTGAACTAAACCTTCTTTTTCTTTTTCAATCAAATCAAAAAAATGGAAAAGATATTTTTCAGTGTCACTCGATTAAAAACAAAGATTTTATTTTTTTTGATTTTAGACATTTTATTAATGAAATTGGTACTGATGATCCATTTTATATTGTTGATGTTTCTCATTATCCTAAACAATATATGAAATGGAAATGTTATTTTCCTGACATTCAAGTTTTCTATGCAATGAAAACAAATGATAATGATTTTCTAATTAAAATCATTGAGAGATTAGGTGGTGGATTTGATTGTGCATCGATCAATGAATTAAAAACAGTTCTAGCATTATGTCCAGATATTGATTGTTCAAAAAGAATCATTTATGCTCATCCATGTAAACCCATATCACATATAAAGTATTTTCAAGAAAAAAATGTTCAATTAACAGTTGTTGATAATGAAGATGAATTGATAAAACTTGAAAAACATTGGCCAAATGTTCAAATATTGATTCGTTTGAAAACTAAAGATTCAAAATCATTAATCTCATTTTCAGATAAATTTGGTGCGAATGAACATATTGCCACTCGATTGTTTCAGTTAGCTAAAAAACTAAATCTAAATATCGTGGGATGTGCATTTCATGTTGGAACAGGATGTTATGATGATAATGCATTTCAACATGCTTTACAATTTGCTCAACAAATATTCCACATTGCAAAAAAATATCAATTTCATCTCACTATTTTAGATATTGGAGGTGGTTTTCCAGGATTTGATGAAGATCATAGACCATCTTTTTCACAATTAGCACAAACAATTCAACAATCATTAGATGAATACTTTCCACAAAGAGAAAGTATAAAAATGAAAAGTTCAAATTTTGAAATTGTTCCTTTGATTTTTTTTTGTTCTAGATATTCAAATCATAGCTGAACCTGGAAGATATTTTGCTGCTGCTTCGATGGATCTCGTAGCATCGATCATTGCTTGTCGATCAAATAATAAAGATTATTTGAATTTTTCATCAAAAGAAGAAAAAGAAAATGTAGACAAAGATCTGATTGATAATATTTATTATATTAATGAAAGTACATATGGATCATTATCTAATATTCTATATGAAAATACGACATATAGTATTACTTGTCTAAGAAAAGAACATTCTCAATTAGTTGAACATGATGAAACGAAATATAAATCAATTGTTTATGGTCCAACATGCGATTCATTAGATATTGTTTCATTAGGAGTCGATTTACCCTTGCTGAATATTGGTGATCATCTTCTTTTTTATCATGTTGGTGCTTATTCAAGTAGTCTTTCAATGAAATTTAATGGATTTCAAACAACAAAATATTATTATATTTGGAAAGACTAAAACATTTTAACTCTGAATTATGTATAAATATGATATTATCACTTTGCTTTATTTTTTGCTCGATTGTCACTGTAAACATGATATTATCTTCTGCACAGCTTATGAGATAAGAATGAAGTCGATTGTGAATTTTGATTGTAGATGGTGTTCTTCTAGTTGAAGAAATTAGTTGTATTACATATTTTAATCTCAGAGAGATTTGGTTAACCGCTTTTTTATTTCATAATCATTTTTATATCATATAAAGTAATACAAAAAAAATCATATTCTTTCAAGCCTAATCACAAATGACGATAAGAAATACTAAAAATCTAAACTCTAACAACGACTTTTCCAATATTTTCACCAGTAAAAAGCATTTCATATGCTCGAGGTAAGTTTTCAAATCCATCGACAAATGTTTCTTGAAATTTAATCGTTCCTTCATTTAACCAAACAGGCATATCTTTGTAAAACTCTTCTTCGTTTCGATCAAAAAAGTCGCTAACAACAAATCCTAAAATTGATAAACCACGATAGATTGTTTTGGCTAAATAATTTGGATAAATGTTAATTTTTGATGGATCTTCTTCACTATTATTATAAGTACTAATTTGACCACAAATAATTATTTTACCATGTCTTTTGATAATATCAAATATTGCATCAGTAACAAAACCACCTGTATTATCAAAATATTGTGTGATTCCTTCTGGTGCTAGTTCTTTTAATCTATTAATCATTTTTTCTTTTGTATTATATTCTTTATAATCAATTGCCGCATCAAATCCTAATTCATTCACAAGATAATCACATTTCTTTTGTCCACCAGCAATTCCAATGACTTTCTGAGCACCTCGTATTTTCTTTGCAATTTGCCCTGTAATTGTTCCAACAGCTCCTGCAGCTCCACTTACTACTAACACATCGGATGGTTGAGTGTTGGCAACTGACAGTATTCCATAATAGGCTGTTTGTGAAGGCATTCCTAATACTCCAACTGCAGTACTAAAACCAATGTTATCATAGATTGTATTTTTCTCTGTTGATTTCTGTACAACTCTAAGTCGTCCTTCTGTGCCATTAGCAAGAATATATCTTCTCCATGGCAAATATCCTTGAACAATTGTATCAACTGGAATATTTGAGTTTTTACTTTCGATAACACGACCTACCAAGCCTGATATCTGAGCAGAACCAATTGGGTTTGTATCGCCTCCTAATGCTGATTTTTTTAAACTACTACTTAGATAAGGATCGACAGACACAAATAATGTTTTTATTATAAATTCATTATCATTGGTAATAGTTGGCATTGGACATGATTGTAATTTCCAAGTTGATTTGATTTCACTCTGATCCGAAGGACGAGTAGATAAAACAAATTCTTCGTTCTTTAGTTCATTCGTCATTTTCGTTGCTATGAATTTAACAAACTATTTGTGTTTATGTATCTAAAAGTAAAACAAAATTTTTTTACCACCAACAGTGCTAAACGTTTTTTTACAAAACGTGTCTATCTTTTTCACCTGTTACATTGATAACATAGACAACAAGAATGTTGTAGGGATTGTTAGATAAAGAAGAAAAAGAAGAAGAATAGAAATGTGTGTTTTGGGTTAAATAATCAGAATAATATTTCGCTTCGTTCGTTTTATGAATAAAAATCGAAAAAAAAAACAATAGAAAACGAATGTATTTAAATTTTAGCTCCATGAATAACATAAGATTATTTGTGTATGTGAAGAATGATCTAACGCATGCTGTTATATAATTATATCTTTCTCTCTCATATGTTTCTTTCTGTTCTCTCATATATATCTCTTTCTTTCTCTCTCGTACTTCAGGTACTTTTGTTCCTGTGCGACCTTTGTGGACTTCGATCCATTGTCAATCTCTATTCATTAGCTTAATAAAGAGAAGAAAATTCTCTTTACATTATTTAACTCATTCTAGACTATAATAACAACGGGTGAATGAGAGTGGATACTGTGGATGCAGGATGCAAGGGTGTGAATGTAGATGTGGGAGTGAATAGAAGAAACATACGCACCCACCTTCACCATATCCTCGAAAAACCCAAAAACCTGATGGCGAAAATTGTCGATAATTTGTTAAAACAAATTTTCCAAGCCAGTGTGCAGCCTTGTATATTCCATTATTCGCTTTATCTGAGGTATGATCATCGATGATAAGATACCACAACACGACAAACTGCCACGAATCAAACGAAATCTCATTGACTCAAAAAATGACTAATCCGAAATTTAAATCTACAAACCTCCATTAAAGAGAAAAGAGGACTGGACATGGCGAACCTTAGTGTGAGGGTGTGGACATTGATACTATATTCACCTAGTACCCACACCCTCAAATAGTATTAGACATATGCAACGATACCACCACAATATTCTTCACATAACAAAACCCTTTCACCGATGTCTTTTAACTTTCATTATTGAGTTTTTCGATGAAAAGCGACAAAAATATCAGTTTTTGAGCTTATCAGTAATCAAAAATGAATTTTTTTGACATAAAAGTTTGAAATTTGAAACTAGTACACCATACAGTCGACAGAGTTTGAAAAGCTCTATCAAATGATATATCATACGACTTTCTCCCATTTTTTCTGAGATCAAAAAAATTTACTTTTCATACTAGCGTTTTACTAGTTAGCACTAATTGATAATTAAAAATGCCTTAGAAAAGGCATTTAAATTTTGTTTTTGCGTGAAATGATATCTACAAATTGGCAAAATTTCAAGGTATGTTTATAGGAAGGAACCCCTTCCCTTTAAATAAAAGAAAACTCTCATAGAATGAAACTAAGTATATGCCGCTAATTATTAAAAAAAATGAATTTTTCATGAGTAAGAATATTTTGGAAAATCTTCTTTACATAACAAACAAATTTTCTAAATCAGATTTCTTCTGTTTTGTTTTTAGTAATTGAAATAATATTAACATTTAGGATTATTTAAACAAAATTAAATAATGAGAAAAAAACCGTTTGTACAATTATGTATGTAAAATTAGTCTCGCATTCGCTTAAAAGCTTGTTTCAAGACTCTTTTTCTTGTCCCTAATAAAACTCAATGGGCTCTATTCAAAGGTATGCTTAGATTTTTCATAACTCAAACGATACCCTCAAAATACTGATATCTTATATTACAATTTCAACACTCGATTCGTCTAATAACATGTTTATTATAAGACATTCCCCGACAAGATGATGATGATGATGATAATGAACGAGGTTTAGCTTGAAACGAACATACTAAATCGTTTCTTTCTTTCTTTCTTTCTTTCTATCCCATTTAGTATTGTTAAGGACAGATAAAGTGAACCTTCTACATATCAGTATTTATCGTTATCGTATCTATACCGATATTAAATGAAATACGACGAGAGAAAAAGAGAATATTTAATATGTTCTTTTCAAAGTAATATACATGAATTGAAATGTAAAATCAACCATGGAATGATGATGAAACAGTTATGTCATATCATGTCAAGATATATTACATGAATAATCATCGATATTGATATAATTAATTCATTGTTTATTAATAATTATTCTTCTTTAAAATTAAATATAATTTAATGTTGAATTTTCTAATTGTTATAATGAAGTTTCGTTTGATATTGATTTAATATTTAATTGAAAAGAAAATAAATGTTTATCAAATAGCTATGATTATTCAGATTGGAAATATTTCAATGAATTCGAAAGTTAGTTGTTTTATAAACATTTATTTATTTTGATAAAATAATTCAAGATAAAGTAATATAAAAAAGTGATTCACATATTATACATATAAATATTAAGTATTAAAATTTTAGACTTGTATTCAGAAGAAGTTATTCGAGAGAATCAATCAAATATTATAACTAATGTTTATTAAGAAATCGAATCGATCTAATTATATCTCATAGTTATATTTAATAAAGTGAATCCTTCTGTAAATTTAACTAGAACGAAAAACGTTAAGGTTATCTCATGTTAAGATAGTGACACTCATCGAAATATATATTTATTGTGATAAGTGTTTAGTTCAACATATGGATATTTCCTTATCGCAATTGACGTTGAAGTTGAAAAGAAAACTTAATCAATTTCTTTTCTTTTCTAGAAATTGTTCTTTTATTAAAATTAACTCAAATAAATAATTATGTTTTGATTAACAATGAAAATAGAGTAGCGGAATAAGTGGTTTAGTTAGTGCATTACTTTTAAATCGTTTAAATATAAAAATTAGAATTTATTAACAAACTAAAAATATTCAATCAATTGGTTTTGGTTTAAATCTTCAACCATATTGTGTAAAAGTTCTTTATGAACTTGGACTTGAAAATGAATTAAATGAAATTAGTATTAAAACGGGCAAAGTTTTATTTTATTCTCGTTATGGTCAATTAATATTTGAAGATCTTCGTGGTTTAGATGGAGGTTATCGTTGGCCTATGTGTTCAATACATCGAGGATATCTTCATCAACTTTTATTTCGTCATGTGCAACAAAAATTAGGTCATTCATCTATTAAACTTTCACAAAAATGAATTCATTTTGCAAATAAATCAAATTATATACAAATGGATTTTCTCAATACAACAACAGGCGAGATAAAAAGTGATGTGACTAAATTATTAATAGGTGCTGATGGAATTAATTCAAGTGTAAGGAAAATTCTTTATTCAAATGAAGGACCACCAATATGTCAAGGTCTTCATATATGGCATGGATTAACATCTGTTGATAAACTTTATTTAGATGGACGAACAATGATTTGTATGAGAAATCCCGATACAGCATATTTTATAATGTATCCTTTAAATAATAACCTGATTAATCCGGCTTGTATTAGTAGAGTTAAACAAGAAGATACATCTTTCTTAGCACCAGATAAATCTGAATGGACCAATATGGGTGATTGGGAAGATTTTCTTCCTTTTATTAAAGATATGAAACTTGATTTTATTTATATTGAACAAATAATTAAATCATCAACTGTTATTAATCAATTTTCAATTACTGATCGTAATATTATTTCTCAGTGGACATTTAATGGTGTAACTCTTATTGGTGATGCAGCACATCCAATGCATATTAGGTGCTCATCAATTATATCTTTCTTTCATTCATTATAGTATTAATAATGAAACTTTTCAAGATTATGAAAATAATCGACGCCCATTAACAGATAAATTTATTTTATTAGCACGTCAATATGGCCCAGATAAAATCCTTAAGATTATTGATGAGCGTTTACCAAATATATCTGATATTATTTCATCAGAAGAAATTCAATCGATTATTTACAATTATAAACAAACATCTGGTCAGGATAAATATTTATTAAATAATAAAGATTCACTTTCTTAATATGATTTTTATAAATAAAGAATTTGAACTATAAAATTATCTAACTTTTTATTTTTAAATTAATAAAAAATATCTCAATACTATTCTTTTAGTTAAGAAAGACATTAGTGAAATATATAGAAAAAATAAATTCATAATCGTATTATTTTAAATGTTGTATTTATAATTATTCATCATCATTGCTGTTATTAGAAATAATATTTAATACTCGACGAGAATAAACTCTTTTTAGAAAACGATTTCTTTGCTTTAATAATATATTTCCTCATCTTCATAAAGCAACTTCTTGAGGGTGTCTATGTCGATTTGATCAGAGACCTTTTTCTAGACCAGTCGATAAAAATGAATATGTCGTCAATTTACTTGACTTTGTAAAGTACACACAGCACTCAAATTTAAATCCGAAGTTTTCACATTTATTCCCTTCCATTTCTGAACAGACAGAAATTGAGAAAAGTCTAAAATAAGATATATAATATTTCAATCAATATATTGAAAAGCTTAACATATACCTTCTACAAAGAATTCTACATGTCCATATTCACATCCACCGGCACTCTATTGTAATGATTAGAATGGGTACTAGACAAATATGTTATATAGTAAGTAATTCAATGACAAACTGAATGAGGCAAGATATGATTACAAAATAGTCTATGAAGTCTCACCTACGTGCGACAATAAAAGTACGAACGCGGAGGACAAAAAGACATATTTTTCTTTGTCAACAAAGATGGATATCAATGAAGAAAAGAATGAATTGATAAGTACGCTGCTCTCTTGCGTCCTGAAGGTGCGCATAACCCCAACTAATAGTGCGATGTTATCGAATGCACTTTATATCTTAATATAGTACGATCAAGAGAAAAGGTAGCATAGCCATTCAAGTATATAAAGACAGATGATTTTTCATTTTTAGCAACAAGTACGTAAAATGTTATCTCTATCAATAATTCTACTTCTCATATGCATTGGTTTAATCACTTATTATTTTCTACAACTGAGACAACATTATCAATACTTTAGTCGACTTCATATTCCCACACCGCCTTTCCATTTCTTTTTTGGTCATCTTAAAACGTTATGGAATAGCACATCTTTTCCCCGTCAATTTGAAACTTGGACGAAAGAATATGGCAAGATCTACGGAGTTTATCAAGGAACTGTTCCTACTTTTGTTGTCAGCGATCCTGATTTTCTTCAAGAAGTTTTCGTTAAACAATTTGCCGCTTTTTCAGGACGGACGAATTTTTTCGCAAGTGCTAAAATTCAAAATGTCTTTACTTCATCGGATGCAACATGGCGTCGGCATCGTCACGTAATAAATCCAACATTTTCTGCCGCCAAACTAAAACTGATGAGCCCTTTAATCAATGGATGTATTACTAATGTCATGGAAAAATTAGTCGATCATGTCACCTCCGATAGTGAATTCAATATCTACACATATTATAAACGTATGACAATGGACGTAATATGTAAGTATACCTTCACGATTTTCTTTCAACATAAAGTTAGTATATGGTTAGGATTCTTTTGAAGTTTACAAATTTTACTTTTTGTCTTGTCTTGAAATGATGATCAACATCATTTTTGCAGAGTTAACAGTTTCTCAAATCTTACGATTGAATTTTATAGTAGTAACGTCCTCTATGAGTATTTGTAGAAGACCTTACTGTATATATCGAAAATGATAGAGTAACTTTCTTCCTATTAACGAAATCGTTTCTTGAAGAGAAGTTGTAGTAAATACTAGCAAGTTTAGGTACGTTTTCAAGAGAGAGAAATGTCTCGATTACTATAATTTCTAGTATGATTTAGGTCGATGTGCATTTGGACTCGATACTGATGTACAGAGTAATCCAAACAATATGTATTTCAAGAAAGTGGAGGAACTCTTTGGTGCTCGCATTAGATCGACTATTTTCTTCAAACTTCTTCAAGTTGTGCCTCAGGTGCGAACTACAATTGTAAAAATCTTTGATAGCATCAACAACGTTCGAGCGTTCATCAATATTCGTCTTTTACCTTCGGTATCAAAAAAACAATTGCATGAACGGCCAGATATGTGGCTTCATAATCGACTACATTCAGTTATCGAGCAACGACAACAAACGCCAACCTCACGAGTTGATCTTTTGCAATTAATGTTACAAGTGATCACCAACGAACAAATTAATGTAAGTAAGATATGCAATTGCTATTTTCAATTTTATTAGAGGGAGTAAAGGCAATTACAAGTGTATCTTAAATACATTTCTTCTTTAGGATGTTGTACAAGATGGAAGCAAGACAAACTATCGACTAACTCGAGAAGAAATAGTCAGTAACATCTTTATCTTCATGTTAGCAGGATATGAAACAACATCAACTACTTTGGCTTTTGCAACGTATGAACTTGCTCGACATCCGGAAGTTCATCGCAAACTTCAAGCTGAAATCGATCAACTTCCATTGGCCACTGATGATATGTCTGACGACGACATGAAAAAATATCCTGATTATGATATAGTAGCACAGATGCCTTATATGGATTTGTTTGTATCCGAAGTACTGAGAATGTATCCCATAGCAAATCAAGCCATTCAAAGACGTGCCTCCGAAGATACGATCGTGCAAGGAATTAAAATCGAAAAAGGTAACTACATGACAATGGTATATGAAAAAATACATGTCTTTCATCTTTTAAAGGCACCTTAGTATATGCTGATGTTTATTCGATCCATTACGATCAGGAACTTTGGGGACCGGAGGATCCCAAGATCTTCTTTCCAGAACGTCATGAAACAAAACGTCATCCGATGGCTTATTTACCATTTGGAGCAGGACCACGACATTGTATTGGCATGCGCTTTGCATTGATCGAAATGAAGATTTTACTAGTTCGACTACTCCTAGAATATTCTATTTTGCCTGGTGAACATCTCCATAACAAACTCAACATTCATGAACAACCAGCTCTCGCACCGGAAGCAGTGTGGGTGAAATTAGTGAAAAGAAGTGTTTAAAAAAGACAATCATACGATATTCACAAATCTAAAACTTTACTTTTGTATAAATACTCTTCTAATAAATATACGAGAAATATAATGCACACGTCTCAAGTATATTTTTTTTCAAAATAATCCAGAAAAATAAAAGAAGAAAACCATTCGTTGGCAAAGAATAGGTTTACTGAAGTACAGATGTGGATATTTTAATGCGCATACTTACACCCTCAGAATACACGTTGAACAATGACGGCACAATAAGACTGAAATTCACTCATGTATATGTGTTAATCTGTATATTGTTCTCTAATCTATTATTCAATAACAACTTTGTTCACTAGTACACTTAAAGAGTAATACTTCAGATGCTGTAAGTTGTTTTCGAAGATCGACTTCTGTTTTAGCTCGTTCTATCAATGCTTGTAAGCACCAATTCGAATATAATCCATGTGTAACATCTTGACTTCCTATATCCATTTCTAATGATGGATAGGATATGCAAGGAACCAATCTACTGTTACCATTATTCAATAATTTGCCAATTTCGTCAAAATTAACACTTGATAAATCATCGTCACTGTTCGTGGCACTATCACTCTCATCGCCAACAACAAAACCAACAGTATCAAATTCATAGGTTGTTACTGACTGTAGGTCGTCATTTTGGATGGTTGATAGAGACGACTCAATGCTTTCGTTATCAGGATTCGGAATGTTTTTAGGAGTGATACTGGGCTCGGATAGTGATTGAGATACTTGTGCCGTTGTTACTGATGACTCAATGTCATGCTGTTCATTTTTAGTTCGCTTCTCGTGATGTAACACACCATTTATTGTATCATCAGCGTCGACTGTTAAAAATTAGAACGTATATATTAAGAGCACATGAAAACACATGGAATTGTATAAGACAATATCTTTTAATTGGGATTATTCAGCTTTTTGGATTATCTGTATGAAGAAATGCTACAAAAACTAGTATTTTTTTTACAGAAATTGCTGGAAAGGGTAACTTTAATTCTCAAAGCAATATGGCTTTATATCGTACTCTTATGTAGTTTTGTAGATCTTCAATTGATGCTTCTAATATACACATGATCCTTGCAAATTATTCTAGTCATCGTAGAAAGTATACTATTTTACAAATAGTGCGATTAATAACTTTAACAATTTATTCAAAAACTACCTAGCTTGTTATTTTTTAAGAAGGGCATTAAGGGGCATACTTTCACTTTCTACTTGAAAAGTACAAGTGCATGTACTTGCGAAACACGATATAAAAGGAGTGTAGAAGTATAGGAGTAGAAACTTGAATACATTGTCGCCTTGTCTATAGACCATAACAGATGTCTTAGCTGCGCAACCTCCTCACAGACTCTAACATACACGTCAGCATTTTGGTAATCTACGATGGGTCCAGCTTAAGTGACTTTCCTTATTTTAACAGTATTATATCGATTCTATACCGCGATAGGATAGACATTGTAGTGGAAAAATAATTTTTTATATTAATTACTTTGTTTGTTTTCCTGTAACAAAGGCTTATTCTTGGCACGCTTTGTCTTCAATGAAGCAGATTCTTTGTCAGACTTCCGCTTCGAAATACACGAAAGTCGTCCTAAAACGTATAGAAAATGAAAATTGATATAAAAAACATAAAGTGCATATCCTTACTAAATATGCTGGCCATGAAATATTGTAAGGACTCGAATACAATCTGTTTTTTCGTGCTCCTTGTGAAACTTTCTCAATGTTAATGGACTGTAATGTGTCGGTCGACGATAAATTTAAGAAATGACCAAGATTGTATATACACCTTTTTTACTTTTATGTCAGATTTTATCGAGATAAACAGAGCAAACAGAAAAACATGCTATGAGTAATATTAACGTATGAGTCACTTCAATGTGCATTCTCCTCATCCACACAAACAATGAAAAAATGACGTGATAAATTCTAACGACAATAAAATCATAAAAATGAGTGGATTTGGTGGGGTGGAATTATCTGAATCCCGTATGTACTCACAGCGACACTCATCCTCACGATTGACAATTATGTCTGGCATATTATCCAATAGCCTTTATTTAAATATTACATATAAATAAAATAAGAGCTCCATCTTTCTATGATCTTTTTTGAAGCAATGTATTTTTTAGTATTATATCTTTATATTCGTTGATTAAATTGTATAGTTGAATGGACAAGATTTGATTAAAACAAACAATTTCAAATGTATAAAAACCTTCGAAAACCAAATTGAATGTTCACTGATTGTGACTTAAATTCATGTTTTAAAAATGTTCCCAAGATATGTCGATAATTTGAAAGTTAGAAAAGAGTTTACTTCATCATATCGCGTATTTCATTATTATTTTATACATCCACACCTTGAAGAATATCAGTGTGTTTTCGGTTGCAAAAATAGTTTTTTTCTACCCATACAACGCAGTTGACTATGCTATTAAACGCGTGAAAATATGATCTCATCGCATAACTACTATTACGAGAAAGAAATATTTACGTAAGGAAGCAAGAGAAATGTGTAATAAGACACATCATTTTTTATCACCATACCTATCTCTCGTCAGTCTCCTATTCTCAAAGAACTCGATTTTTTGTGTGCTGACAGTCATGGTGAACAGAGACGAGGATAATTTTTTACGATTTTCTGGTGTCCGAACTGTGTTAATAAGGATCTTACTTTTAACATTTCCAGTTTGCAATAGTCTCTTTTTTTGTTAAACTATTTGACGTTTGTGCATTATGCCGTATTTTTAGATTCAAAACAGACATATCTCGACAAAAACAACAACATCATCATCATGTGGACTCTTTCAGCTTTTTCAGACGAAGCCGGTGCATCGTGCGACGAACAAATTAGTGCAGCGAAACGTGCCGGTCTTTCACGCATTGACATTCGTAGTATTGATGGCTTTAATATTACGACAATGCCTCTTGAAAATGCAAAGACCATTAGAAATAAATTGGATGATGCCGGAATTTCCGTACAAATGTTCGGCTCGCCGATCGGAAAAATCGATGTTCTGGATGATGTAGAAATTGATATCGATAAATTGCGGCATCTAGCAGCTCTGGCACCGATATTCAATTGTAATGCAGTTCGCATTTTCTCTTACTATAACAAAACGAAAATCTCATATGTTGAGTGGCGCAGTAAGTCACTAGAAAACCTTACACGTCTGCGTGATGAAGCCGAAAAGCTTGGCTTAGTACTTTATCACGAGAACGAACGTTATATTTACGGCGATATGGGATCGGACGTGAAAGAGATTGCAAATCTTCGCAGCGCAAACTTCAAAACGATTTTCGACTTTGACAACTACCAACAGAGCGGTGAAGATGTTTATAAAGTCTGGCAAAGTCTGGCGGATCGAACTGATAGCTTCCACCTGAAAGATTCGACTTCCGAGAATATGCATGTTCCTATTGGACTCGGAAACGGACAGGTCGAGAAGATTTTACGCGACGCCGTTGCTCAAAACTGGAAGGGTCCAGTCGCTGTTGAACCACATCTGTCTCACTCCGAGGCTGTCGTTCTGACAGGTCCAAGCGGTATTGTGAACGAAAGTTACGCCAATATGCCTTCCGCTGAGAGTTTCTATCTCGCAGTTGAAACGGCGAAGAGACTTCTGAATAAAATCGGAGTTAAATGGAACTAAACTTTTTATCTTGAGAGAAGGTATGAATGTGAGCAAATTAATGGTTTTGTTTTATTCAAGTTCTAATCATATCCACCTCCACTATTACAGTCATCCTCAAGACGCATTATGGCAGCTATCTGCTAATTTAAAGTTTGTTGTTAAGTTTTATTTGAATGTTTTCTTCGAAATATATTCACATCGATTTATCTTTTTAGCCTTGTTCTAGTCTCATTAAGTCCTATTTATAGACAAAATATGGCCTTCAAAACAATTTTGTAAATTGATAGACCCTCTCTTTCATTGGGGATGGAAAACAAAGACAAACTTTTCGTATGAACACTACAGACTAGGCGCGATCAGTGAGCATTTTCAAAGTTTTAAGCGTTTCTGTTAAAATTCTCAAATTATGGAGTGCGCTGTGAACTCGAAAATCAAAAGTGAATTCGTATAGGCATTCTTAAAACTTTGGGTTCCATTTAACTATTCGAGCATTTTTTTTAAATAAAACATCGAATTTGATTTTCATATGATAATGGAGTATCTTCCATTTATTTTGATTCATATTGATTATACATCTTCACTACGAAATAAAATAAATAATATTAATTGAAATAAATTTTATCAACATTTAACTCATATAAATGCGCCGAATAGAATAAATGAATAAATAGTTCGAATATAAATATATTCATAATAGACTAACTTATATAGATGAATGGAAAATAACTTTCTTCAAATAAAAATTGGCTTTTGAATTAGGGTGGGTGTGGGTGTGAGTGTTAGGTGAATTCAGTATCCATACTCACATCTACATCCAATATGTACAGCTTATGTCGATAGTGTTTGGCCTCTGGTCATGTATTTCATTTATCCATCCTTGCCAGATCCTGCTTATCTATTCTTTATACATATTATGCTATCCTTCATGTTTCTTGCGTGCAGACCTTGTTTATGCACACTGTCTATCACTTAGTATGGTGAAGAACATTCAATGCATATAAAAAGACGGGGAAGGTAAGTAAGAGGGAATTGGAAATTATTATCGTTATATAGTGCGTTTAGTTTATTGTACAACGTTTGAAAACGACATCCTATTTAAATAAAGATTGTTACCATCACTATCATCTTTCATATTCATTACATCTCGAATTTGTTACACAGCTGCACACAAATGATATACGAATATTCTATTTGGTAGAGAAATGAGATTCTCTTTCAGGATTTTATTACTCTATCAGAGATTTTACGTTCGTTTAGTTTTTCTCCCTATTGACTCTTGAGAGGAAAAGGTAATCTATTCATAAAACTCTTTTATTATTATGATCCTCTGAAGAATACTTGAGAATTATTCTCTCATGAAAAGTCAAAACAGCTATGATTACAATCTTTATCGACAAAACAAAATCACGAATTTAGTTGTTGGCATAGTGAACCTATTTAAAATGTATAGTTATGCGAAAAAAGTAGTGAAATTGTTTTATCAACTACCAGTGACGATAACAAATGAAATAAGTAGACAAATCTGTCATTTGGAAATTTTTATACTAATCTAGATTCTAACATTTATTGAATGTAGTGCAATAGTATCTTGCGGTTGTGAGTGCGTGCATTCCTTCCATTCACTCTCCGACCCACTCTCATTCATCCGTTGTTATTAGAGTTTGGCATCTGTTAGATCATCCTTCACATACACAAATAATCTCATGTTTTCTACAAACACATTTATTTTATTTCTAAAGCTAAAATTTATAAATACATTCGTTTTCTATTGTTTTTTTAAAATTTTTATCTATAAAACGAACGAAGCGAAATATAATTCTGATTATTTAACCCAAAACACACATTTCTATTCTTCTTCTTTTTCTTTTTCTCCTTTATCTAACAATCTCTACAACATTCTTGTTGTCT